GTGGAGACCTCGTGTGCAGTGGAGACCTCGTGTGCAGTGGAGGCCTCGTGTGCAGTGGTGACCTCGTGCGCAGTGGTGACCTCGTGCGCAGTGGAGGCCTTGTGGCAGGTGCTCCTGTACACTCTGGGTGTGCAGTCACTTAATCTTCTGAGCACCTCACAGGGCTTGAAGTCCTGTGTTACTTGAACACTGGGGAAGCCTCGACCCTGAATCCCGAAGGTTTATCTCTTCAAGGGATGGATACCTGTTTTCCACCCTAAGGGACCTTTGCTGTCTACAGGGCCAGGCCTCACCCACACCCCCAGAATGTTTATCCTAGGCTCTCCCTCCCTAGACCTTTATCTTTATCTTCGGTCTCTTAGTCAACAGAACCCATTCTTAGGGGAGTTCTCACATTTACTTTATAGCCTGGTGAGCTCTACACAGTCTCTGTCAGAGACAACACCAGATCCTAGGGCCTGAAGCTATAGAACCCATCTCCATCCTAGAGTTCCCATGTGCTTTGTAAAAGAGTTTCTGTGTCGTCAGGTCTTAAGCTTTATTGTACACATGGGATTGGGATAACTGTTACCAGAAAACTTTTCTCTAAAATTGTCCTGCACTTAAATGTCTAAAATAAACTGTCCTGGTGTCAGAAGTTTGAACCAGCACTGGTTCAGTCGTGCTGAACCAAATTTCCTGCTTGCCTTATGTGCTGCTTCGCTGCAGGCCATGAAGCTTGCAGGGAACCCTCACAATTTTCCATCATTTCCAGATGGGCAAACTGAGGCACAGAGCAGTGAAGAGATTTGTCTAGGTCATGTAGGAATGACCAGAGTCATGACTTTTGCCCTAAAATTCCAGCTTCACTTTTACAATACGGTTTGTAAATATAGAAAGAGAAATGTAACAAATTACACAGGAAATCGGTTATTTGAAATGCAATTACCAAAGTAATAAAAAGTCTAATTTTTTAGAGAGCAGTACGTGACCTTTCTCAGCAAAACATTAATCAAGACCCAGCCCCAGATCCCAGGGCCAAATGTCTATGTACAAAGCTTCGAGGATCACAGTCAGACAAGAAGATACTGATCTTTTAGGATGGTCTCACAGGCTCTATGGGACTGCCTGCCCTCACCTGCATTAGCCCAGGAGTGCTGAAACAGCACACAGGCCTTCCGCTTAGGTCTACAGGAAGGAATGCTAGAAACGCTGGCTTAGGACACTGGGTAGGTCAGAGTTTGCTCCTCTGAGCTGTCAGGCCCCCTCCATCTCC